ATAATTGAGAAAAGACAACTTACAACGAGGATCAAGAATCATCACAAAGGTAAACAACATGCCATAGTCATCCTCACTCGAGTTGAACCAATAGTCATCAAACTTTTTCTTCATTTCTATTGTCATTGTTTTCAAAACTAAATCATTACTTCTTGTCATCTTTCTTAAAAGCATAAAAATTTTCCAAACATTCCCAAAGTATAAATTCGCAGTAGGATAATCATTTACTGAAAATAACTTAGTTATATCAAAGAATGGTTCTAAAATATCTCGAATTTTTCAGGTATTTCTCATTCTTCGGTGTTTGGACAGTGACGGAAAGAAGAATCAACAACAACCATTTCTTAAAAGCTTCACGATATAAAATAGTCCTATCAAGCATCATGTATGTAGAGTTCCATCTATTAGGAACATCAAGTCACAATACTTTAGTTTCTTCTATCTTGACTAATTTTACACTATGTCAAAAAGCATTTTTTCTTGTTTTTGAACATTTGATATTATCTTGACAACAATATGTTCAATGACCTTAAGACCATCCTTAACAATGAGATTCAACACATGTGCAACACATCGAACATGAAAGTAAGCCCTCCACATAATAAAGCCCCTCGAGCATTAAAAGTTTCCTTCAAGTGATCTTGCATTTTATCATTACTAGAAGAATTATCCAGTGTAATGGAAAAAATCTTATAGTCAATACCCCAATCCTGAAGTAAATCTAGCAAAATACTATACATAGTACTTCCAGTATGCGGTAAGTTAATATGACAAAAGTTAAAACTTTATTATATAACTTTCAATTAGCATCCACATAATGAGCGATTAAACATAAATATCCCTCAGTTTGACAAGATATACATATCAGACGTCAAAGAAATACAATCGGAGATATTACGAAGAGTTTCCTTTAAGTTATCTTTAAAAATTTTATGCAACTTCAAGCAATCCACTTTTGCAGTATTTCTACATACGCTTCTAACTTGATTGTTCAAATATGCATGAATTTTTCTATTACCTTCATGTTCAACCCAAGAAAAAAACATATCCATGCTTTATAATTGCTTTAGCTACCAACTCTCTATAGATTTTTTGGTCATCAACATTACCTTCTAGTCCCTCTGTTCTCAAACTATTATATTGATTACATTTTCAAGTGTTTTCGCATATTTGAGGTTCTATAATGTGAGTTACAAATAAAGAAAGCAGTTTTACAATGTTTGCAAAGTGCCATCTCTTTTTCATCTTTAGTCTCTGTGAAATTAATAACAAGAAAATGTTTCCAAATCTGGCTTCGTCTCTTAGAAAAATATTGTGATTCTGCTACAACATTATTGGTATCACTTGGAACCTCACATGTATTAACATTAGATTCCATGACTGCAAAAGTAAAGAAAAATATTATTAGTATTAAGTTGAACCTTACTTGCTCGTCAAAGACACATAATGAATCACACAAATATATTAATCAACATGTAATAAATACACACATAATTCTATTAATAATATAAAACAAAAAAAATCTGAATAGAATTTTTTTAAATAAATAATGTACTACGATATAGAAATATACCTAGAGTTACGTAGAATAAGTATTTTTTTCAAATAAGAATTTTTGTCGACTGACGAACAAAATATTTGAATTAACTTGAACGAGATATACAATAAGATAAAAGATATTAAAGTTGCCACTTTGATTACTAAAAACTCTTTCGCTTAATTTTTTTAATAATAATTATATTAAAAACAATATTAATTTTTAGAATAATAATAACAACGATCGTAACAGATTTTAGTAATAAATTAATAGTATAATTGTAAATAATAATGGAAACAATAAAGTAATATGATATTAAAAAATAACTAACTAAAGAAATTAAATTAAAGTGAATCTTGAAAAAAAGAAGAAGTGAAATATGATGTATTTGGAAATTGGAAGTTATCGGTTATTGCAGCAAGCAATACCAGGGTAAGGTACTCGCGCAACAAGGTAGGAGGAGTTGAGCATTGGGTGCAGAGGAACATGCATGTGAGAGTTGTGCACGACAGTTGGAGCTGGTAAGAGTTGAGCGACGATTGAAACTAACAGGACTGAGCGATGACTAAGGAAATTCTTGAATTTTGAATTTCTTGAGTTAAGTAAGAACATCATACTTATATATATAGTATTTGTAAATAATATATAAAAGAAATTATATATAAATAAAATTATACTTTAACCTAAATAGTGAGGTCTTTTTATTTTGAACACATAAGCAAGTTTACTTTAATTTAAACGATACAAGTTTATTTTGAATAATAGATTAATTTAAATAAAATTGGTAATTTATTAAAAATATTAGATTTATAATAAAAAGTAGAAAGTTTAAGAAGAATATAAAAGTAAGAATCTAATTGCAAGATTGAAAACGACAATAAATAAAGTTTACTTATCTTACTTGTAATAAAAATATTAAATTTATAATAAAAATAATATAAAACAACTAAAACAAAGGAGATAATACTAGATTCATAATAAAAATAATATAAAGTTTACTTACGTTATAACTAAAACTTAACAAATAAAATTATTTATTATTTTCTAAAATTTAATAAAAATATTAAATTTATAATTAGTAATAAAATTTTTAATAAAAAATTATTTCAAAAAATTATTTCTTTATCAAATATTTCTCATTATAAACTTTTCATACGAGATTAATATAAAAATTTAATAACAAATTCTAACACGTATTATAGGATCATATTTGTATCAAATTATCGATTTATCATCTCTAAATGATGGTTTAGTTCAAAATATTGAACGATCGAGAACTGAAATAAGGTCCAAATGATAAGATTAACAAATAAGAAGGCATATTTTTACAAGAATATATCAATAATTATATATATACTTAACTTTTTATTAAACTCATAACCAATTCAACCCGAATTGACATGATTTAAAGGTTGACCTAAACTAAAAATTAACCGATCTGATATTGATTCGAACCGAAAATCAATCGATTTGATAATCACCCGACCCAAAAATTGACCCGACCCAATACACGACCCGATTTGATTTACCGTACACCCGAACTAGATACAAACCAGATCCGATCCGATTCGATCCAAATTAAATTAAATTGAATTTAATATAGACATAAAAGTATTCGACCCAAACCCAATCCGAATGACCCGTTTGTCACCTCTAGTTATTATTAAAGTCTTTAGGGTGCGTATGGTTCACGGAATGTAATATTACCAGTGGGAATAAAAGATTACCAGGGAATAGGATTACTGAGAATGTTGTATTTTGTGTTTGGTTGGTTTTGCAGGAATGCAAGATTATCGTGGTTGGTTAAAGGAATAAAAGATTATTGGAATGTATATTTAACCAAATTGTCCTTATTATATATTTGTATAATATTACAAATTGTAAAATATTTATATATTTTCTTTAAAAAAATTAAATTCATAATATTTATATAATATTTTTTACAAAATTAAAAAAATAAAAAAGGTTTAATGAAAGGGTAAAAAAAAATTTAACCCCTGAACTTCATATAAAATTTTAATTATAGATTTTTTTTTTGTAAATCTAAAATAATTTAAGGATAAATTTATAATTTAACCTTCGTAGGATTTTTATTATTCAATGACAGAATAATGATGTTTTGAAAAAAAAATAAAAATTAAGGGCATTTCAGTCCAAAACGCCGGTAATGTTACAATACTTAAGGGAATGGAAGTAATGACATTCCCGGTAATATACCCCAAAAAATATACTATTGGTAATAAAACATTACCGGGAATGAGATTCCCGACTAACCAACCATAGAAATATGAGATTCACATCTCATGAGAATCCCACAATCTTTGAACCAAACATCCCCTTATAACCGACCTAAAATCACATGTCCAACGTCATTGTGAAGGGTAATGGGACCCACCATCCTTTTAAAAACAAAGTAAAACTATCTGGAAATTCATCTAATATTAAAATATAAAAAATCTTAAAGCCAAATGGAGTATAAAATAAAACAAAAGATATATATATAAAGGCTTAATAACAAAATAAGTACTCATGCTATACTTTTTTTTCAAATAAATGCCTAAACTATTTTTAAGTCATCCTGGTACTAAATGTTTTCTCCATAACTATTTTAAGTGCCTAATGTTTTTGGGTGTATTGTTTTGTCCTTTTCTTTTTTTCTTGTTTTTGTTTTGAAGGGTCTGTTTTTTCTTCTTCTTTTTAAGTGAAGGGTCTGGTTTTAAATGTTCGTTAGGGAGAGTAAAATTTTATTTTTTAATAAAGTTATTTAACTTAAATTTGTATTTAGATTTTAAATTTAAGTAGGTTTTGAATTTATAAAATTTAAATAATTAAAAAATAAAATGTCATCTTATTCGCTAGATTATTTTATGATTTTATCTCTGTTTTTTTCGTTAATTTTTTAATTTTAATTTTATTTCATCAAGTTTAAACCATATGTTCCTCAACCACTTTTAAATATGTGTACTTTAAATTATATAATATATGTTGTATATGATTAGAGAGAGTTATATAAATTGAAAACAATCTGTATCCATTATAAATTATTACATTTAAATTTGAACAGAAACTCAAACAAATATATTAAATTTAACTTTACTTGAATTTCATAAACTTAACTCGATTAAAAAAATAAATAAAATTTGAATAATAAAATAATACTCATACTTGAATAATCCAATTTTCTTTCACTCCATTTTGATCGAATATTCAACCCTAACTCTATCCACTCTTCTTTTCTTACCCCCTGGAGCCATTTATACAAGAGAACTGCAATGTTGTTAAAACTTTCATTCTCTTTTTGAACCCTATAGGCATGTTCTTTCAAATACATAAAAAATTTAGAGAAAAAAAAAGATAAAAACGCGAATGTATTCATATCCGGTAGTGTCGTCCGAGATCGAGTACACCATAGAACTGAATAGAGAAGCTCAGCCTATTATTAATCCATATGACACAAGTTAACTTGCAGTACAGGAGATAAGTTGACCATAAATTCTTAATCACAAATATATAAACTGAAAAGACCTTGAGGATAATGTAAATGTCTAGTTTTGCTTTCGACTTGAACTAACACATTCGGATTTAGTAACACTTGATCCTTTCAAGCAGATTCCAATGCATGCTCAACTCATCGCAATCTGATAGTTTCGTTGGGTAATATAACATTCGGATTTCGAATATGCGGATTAAGGGCTGCCAATTCTTTCCATTTAGCCCCATTACCCTGAACACGAGACGAGATGCTCCACAAAGTGTCACCTGGCTGAACCTTGGTTGTTGAGGGGGTTGGAGATTTGAAAGCGGGCTTAGACTTCAATAATGGGTGTTTATTGCTCTTTCCCATTCCGTTTGCAAGCAACCATCGAGAACCGGACTGTTGTTGGGTTGTGCTACCCCAAAGTTTCTTCTTGCCAGGTTCGGTTTTCAAACCTGCAACATGGACATCGGTGATTCTGAATTGAGGAATTCCTTCCTCCTGGGAAGCTGTTTCTTCTTTCATCTCCTCCATTTTGACCTCTTTCACAGCAGACACCGAGTCTTTGTCCTCTTGATCATCGTTCCTCACAGAAACAGTACTATATATCTTTGGCTTTGGTGGGACAAACACTCTCTCCACTTGAATAAGAGCAAGCATTGGTGCACCGACTGGCTCATAGTTTCTCATCGGATCGCGAAGTTGCACCATTAATGCCACCGTGAAGTTATTCCCTAGCAAACCACACTTTTTACCCCGTTTTTTATCTCCTTTCGACCCAATGTGAATCGAGTTCAATGATGTAGCATGATGAGCAGCAAGGATTTTAGAAGTTTGTTCGCTTATCTGACCGTCATCATCAATATCCCCGGAATCAAGTCTCATCCACTCATCAAGAGTTAGTGACAGACCCATTAATCCATCAACATTATCACCAGTATCTTTTATATCCAACAATTGCAACCCAGCAGTTCCCTCCAGACCAAGGGACCCATTAATACCAAACCCCTTACCTTGAAGGGCAGAAATTGCCCCAATAGACTGCGCACTGATGTTTGAAGGTGCCTCCTCATCTGACATTCCCGATTGAATTCTCAACCCTTCCATTGAGAGAGCTTCAATCTTATCCATCGCCAATGGAGCAAGATCTTCAAGGGATACATAATCCGACCCCATCTCATTGCCGGAGGTTGAATTAAGTTTGCTAGAGCTGGCGCGAGGTGATCTTTTAACTTTCTTTTGCCCATTAGACGTATGTTCCCCAACATCAAAGTCAAGCTTCATCTGCCTGCAAAGAGAAGCAATAACTATGATATCAATATGATTTCACGAACAATGTTTAAGAAAGAAATATAAACTGGGAAATCAAAGAAAAATGAGTCACAAACCTCTCAGGTCCTTCCAGAGCAGGGGCAGCTTCCCATGCAACTTGTTCCATAGTTTTACCAGTAATATCCTCCAAAGGCATCAACTTATTTGCCTGCATAGAGAGCTTCTCAATTCCAACGGAAGCGAGTCCCTGAAGTATTTCCATTATACTAGAACCCATTTCTGAAGGTACCACAACTGGACTAGACACCTGCATGATCAGGCTCCCACCACTTTTAGCATCCCGGAAAAGTGAGGGATTCATAGACCGCAAATATCCTCCGTCCTTTGTCTGAAGAAATGGACCTAAACCATCTCCAAGAGGAGGCATTTCGAGTGGATCTTCTTCAGGAGGAAAATTAACCGGACTCCCAAACCCACTGATAGACCCAGGTGGAGAATGCTGGAAAGCCTTCTCGTTGAATCCCCACTCACGCATTAATGCTTCGGTCTCCAAGTCTTCCAATAATTTAGCCCTCGTTTTATTCCTCCCGTTATCTTCCATCAGATGCTCTTGCTCAGCATCTTGGATAACAGATGACAAATCAAAATCATCATTCAAGCTCTCCCATGCGGATGGAGTTGATGCGTCAAAGCCTGATTCTAGTTCCTCCTCGTCAACCATGTCAAAATCAAACAATGAGCAACCACTGGCTAGGGTATCTTTCTCAAATTCCCTTAGTAAACGCTCCCTTGGTGATTCAGGCTCACTCCCAAAACCCAAGCCGAGTGGACTATCATCAATACCAAGCATATTCAAGAACTCGCTTGCGACAGATTCATCAGCTTCATCCAAGCTAAGTGACTTCACTTTCCTAATTGTTTTATAATTATCTTCATTCTCCATGTTGTCTTCGGAATCTTTAGGGCCATGAGAAGAGACAAATGCTGCCTCCAAATTTGTAATGCTGTCTAAAGTTAAGTCCAATTCTCTCATCAGTGATTCTTTCGAGCCTTGCTCATCCTCTTTGGGATCACAATCTTGCACCACGAGCTCGTCTCCTCGCTTACTACCACTCTTATCGTTAGAGGGATGAAACTGAGAACAGTCCCCGAAATTTACTCCCACGCCGAGATTAGCTTCAACAACTTGAGGGCTTTCTACGGTTGATAAAGTAGCCACCATGGTAACTTCCTCCGGACTAGCCTGTTCTTCTGAAGATAACTTCATCCCTTTTTCCACAACAGAGAAGTCATTATCTTCATTTTCTTCTTCAGCGTATTCCTTACTAGGTTTAGATGCAACCGAAGCCTGAGGTCTGATGGGCTCAGAATGTTCAATTAACACATCGGAATCAGGCTTGGAAGATGCAGAAGCATCTAACTTGTGTTCATCAAAGTTCTGATCTACTGTATTAGTAACATCTAGCTCTGACTTTGGCAAATGCAAAAGTTCATGATGATCTTTTATCTCCTCCGGTACAGGAGATGAGCCAAAAGATCTGGTTTTAACTGAATTGGGAAGACTCTCAACACGCCTCATAGTGCCCTTCCGATCACCATGAACCAATTTTGTAACTTCCTTTCCCATAATCAGATTGTTCTGCTTCATTTGTGACAACTCATCGCCATGCTGATTATCTCCGAGTGGAACAGTATTATCTCTGATGACCATATAACCAAAACGAACATTCATAATAGCACCTTTGGCCTTCCCCGACAACTTATAACTTGTTGTCCACTTCCCAGAGCTCTTCTCTTCCACCAATTCTTCCAATGTAAGCGGAAGTAAACGTGCAAGGTCAACTCGATGTTTCCCCAAGTCAAGGTCTGGTGTTCCCACCACAGATGCATAAAGCAGGCAGTGTTTTGCCTCGTACTTGGCCAAAAGGCCACTTCGAACGCCATATACGGAGCAAGTAAGCGTCAACCGCTCTTCGAATTCAGCAGTTCCATTAAAAACTTTAGAAGGACGAGTCACTAGATCCCCATCCCGCCTTCTCCAATGCACACATAGACTAAGATCATTAAAATTTAGTGGCAAACTTACAACGGAGTGCACTTCAAGTGAGAAACAACAGGCAAACCTCTTGTTTCCGGTATTCGAAAAAGCTTTCAACGGATTCCAATTCCAAACAGATTTCCTCTCTTTACGCAAAGGGTCATCGTTACTATTCTTAGGCTTCGACTTTGGTTCAGGCAAGTTGGTTTTCCGGGCCGGTTTGGACCGAGAATTAAAAGAAGAAAATGAATTGCTTGGACGGTTCTTGTCCAAATAAAAAGCTTTGTTAATAGTTTCAATTTCATTCAACAATTTCCCATTACTCGAATTCCCTCCATTCTTCTTCCTAGCTTCAACTCTCGCCAACATCATCTTTTTTCATACATAAAATTAAAGTAATAATAATCAGATTAATCCATAGTAAAAAAAACAATGAAATTCATTAAACAAATCAAAATCTAAGTAAAAATACAAAACTATAAACGAATCAAGTGAGAAACCCAGAAATTAAATTACCAATTAGAGCTTCCAAGAGACCAAAATTTCCCAAACAGTCAATATTTAGTCTCGCTTCGGAGTTTGCCTGTCAAAATTTTCAGGGAAAAGAAAAAAGCAAGGTTCCGGTTCAACAAAAAAATGTATAAAAATCTAGCCAAAAACTAAAAATGAAAAGCTATTAGCATGGGAGCTGAAGAGAATAAGGCGGAGATATTGAAATCTTACAATAACCTAAGCTATCACGATTGGGACTGTTGAACCGGGCTCGTCTCTAGCGGTTCGTTGTCCAATTTGGTCCCCTCAATTGCCGCTGCCTTTTACTCAAACCAACATTTCAAACCAAACCACGAAAAGACATAATATTACACGCATCAAATTTATGGAGGTAAAGTACACAAAGGGTCCCTCATCTATAGGCTGTTGCTTTTTTGAGTATCTAGACTATTAAAAGTTACAATATAATCTTATAATTATATGACATTACTTTGTTGAGTCCCTAGAGTATTACAAGCTACAAAATAGTCATATGAATATTTATATATTTCAAACTCATCATTTTTTGTTAAAAAATTGATGATCATCTAAGATGGACGTTAACATGTTGATCGGGATATAATAGTCGTTTGAGATTTTGGGATCAAATTTTATCATACCTCAATTAACATGTTAACGTCCACCTTATATTGTCTTCAATTTTTAACAAAAAATGACGATTTTGAAATATATGAATAGTCAAATGATCATTTTATCTTTCAATAGTTCTAGGACTCAACAAAAATTACCATATAATATGTGAATTATTTTATAATTTTTAATAGTCAGTGTACTCAATAAAATAATATCATATAGTTGAGGAATCATTTATGTATTTTACCTAAATTATATATATTTAAAGGACTTTCTAAAAGTACATTATTTAATTTAAAATTGAATCACTAATAAATTATTACAACGTCAATGGCTATTTAGACAAATAATGTTAAAAATAGGAAATTTGAGATTTAAAAAATATTTGAAATTTTATACAAATATTTTAAATAATAATAGTTTAAATTATTTTTTTAGTAATCTAGGATAAGTACAAAGTAATAGTTGTTTAAAAATAAATCTCAACTATTTGACATTGAACATGCACACTACATTCTTCGTGTTCGAACTTAAAATCTAAAAAAATAACAACTCTTTTATCGTCAATGTTGCTAGATTTGTGTAACTTAAAAAAGGATAAACTACATGTTTAGTATCAAAGTTATTATTTTTATTCTATTTTGGTACCAAAATTTTATTTTGTTTCAAAATCATACCTAACATTTAATTTAAGTTTCATTTTGATATCCCGTCATTAAAAATTTAACGGTGTATTGACGTGTCATCATAAGTTAATGACATATCATTATTGAAAAAACAATTTGTTTACATTATTTTTATTTGGATTATTATAATATATTATAAAATATATGATTCCTTTAATGTGCTTTGCTTTTGTTACAAAGTGAGTATATATTCATTATAAATATATAATAATATTTTATCTACGAGAATTCGGTACCTTTTATTCCCAATTTACCTATTAATAAAGATTTTAAGATTCTTTTGAGAATATTATTTCCTTTCCTTTCCCTGTATTGACTTGCACATGAGAAATACCAAAACATTAGACCCTCGTAGAGAAGCAAAACAAAACTTTGAATATATTCTTAAGAGGTTGCTTCAAAATCATTTTATTATATATAATTATCAAGTACTACATTTAAAATACAAATTTGTTTTACAATACATCTAAAAAAAATGTTATTTATTTATGATAAAATCTAAAATGACGTTCGAGGAATATTTGAAAAATTAATACATAAAAGAGTAAATATATTTAGTTGGTTGATTGGTTAAGCTATTCATTTTTATTTCCTCGTATTTCCTTAAGTTATGGGTTCTTTTAGCTTAAGTTATGGGTTCTTTTAGACTCGTTAGAAATTCTAAAGCCCCTTTTCTTCTTCTCTAGATAAAATTAAGATTATATTTAAAATTACTCAACAAAATTAATATATAATAGGATTTATATGTGACTATATATTTTTGTAGGGTGTCTTAACAATCGTTGTAATTTGTAAGTTTAATTGAGCTGAAAGTAATTCTTTAATATTACGGATCTAACACCTTTTGCCGAAAGACGTGCCCCATGCACCGCGCCTTACGCTGATGTGGTGCCACGTGGGGTAAGGCGCGGCCATGCTCCGCGCCTTATTGTCGTCTGACACAAGCGCCAGATAGGCGCGGTGCATGGGCCGCGCCTTGTATATCCGTATTTCTCGGCTTTTAAACTTTTCTCTCGGCTATAAATACGCTCTCTACCCTTAAACATTCATAGCAATCCTCTTAACCTGGAAAATCACATAACAAACCTTTCAACCCGTAAATACTACCCGACAATTCTCTTATCTTTGATTCAGAAGTTCGTTCGATATTTCATTATAAGGTAATTTTTTTAATATATATTTTTTTATAATTATATATAATTATTTGGAAAAAAATGTTATATTAATTATTTTCAATTAATTATTGTGGTTGTAAAATTGAAAAGCGGGAGCATATATAAAATTATATTATTTAAATTATTTACATTTATGTGTAAAAAATTTATTGCGTTATATTTTAATTCATATATTATTTATTTAATTAGCTTTGTTTCAGTTTTTTTTTTTTTGCATATATAAGATTGTCTCCCTTTCAAACTCTAAGAATGACACGAATTTCAGCTATTATTTATTATGATGGAGAAATTCGAGAAGATGAAACCGACATTGTTTTCGTATCAAATCATTATGTTAAAATATCCTTCAAGAGAAACATAACTCTTGAGGAGTTGATAATGAAGATTTCAAGGAAAGTTCATGTTGAAAGTACTAGAAGAATATCGTCGCTTCAGTACAGATTTCCAACATCATTGTTTCCATTAACTTATACAGCGTTCTAACTGTCGGACAATGATGATGTTGAAATGATAGTTGATTCTCAAAATCATTATTCAGACGTCGATACGGAGATGCATGCAAAGTTTGTTGAAGTACGTGTTGTTCGGGGTCTATCATTAAGCTCCCACTATAGGCTGTCTGAACAAGTTAATCAAGTTGACAGTCCAACTACAGTAATGTGTAATGATTTTAATGCCATAATGGGAAATCTGCATCATGGTGCCATCCCATCGACTTCAATGGGGAGACATTCATCAGCAACTCATAACAAACTGTACTGAGGTGGGTCTACAAACAATCCATATGGCAACATCGCATCCAGTTCAAGTGGAAGGCATTCATCTGCCAATTTCTTTGACCTAAATATGGAGATGTCCTCGACACAACAATGTGTACAGTTTTCATTTGATACAATGGCTTCAAGCACGAGGGGAGACATTCTACTGCGAGCTTTTTCGATCTCAATGTCGAGATGTCTTCTAGTTCAAGGGGAAGGCATGCAAGTAGTAGGTTATTCGACCTAAATGTGGAGAGCATGGAGGAACCCTCATCTCCACCAGAAGAGTCACTTCGTGAGCCAGGTGCGGATAGTGCTGAGACTGGACTATTCGTTCACCCAGAATCACCGCAGTTCAACTCCGATGATGATGATGATGTAGATGAAGTTCCCACAAATGTGGTACAAACTGAACCTCCAACACACATGAATGAAGCTGACTATGGTGCAATGTACGGGCCAGAATTTACGGATATGCATAATCTCGGTGACTATGGATTTAACTCATTAATAATTAATGGTGAGTTATATTTAGGCATAGAGTTTTCAAGCAAAGAAGAAGCAATGAAGGCTATAAAAAAATTACAATATATGTAATTCTATTCAGTCTAGAGTCGACCGCTCTGCGCCAGAAAAGTATGTCTGTCACTGTGTCCGACGTGAAAACGGATGCAATTAGATGGTTTGTGTATCGAAAAGAAAGAGGAAAAACAATAGATTAGAACTAACGGTATACAACGGCCTTCACACATGTTGTGCTGGAGAGATCAACCAAGATCATCCCAACTTGGACTCTGAAGTGATCTGTCAAGCCATCATGCCCATAGTAAAAGCAAGCTCTCATATAGCTATTGTTGTATTGATTTCAGCTATACAATCACAGTATGGGTATTTCGTCTCATACAGAAAAGCATGGTTGGCAAAGCAGAGTGCGATTAAAAAACTTCACTGCAAATGGGATGCATCTTACAACGAACTTCCAAGCTGGTTTAGGGTGGTGCGGAGGTTGAATCTTGGGAAAATTATGGATTTTGAAACTTGCCATGCATACCATAATGATCGAGTTCTTCGCGATCGATGCAAATTCTATTGGGTTTTTTGGACTTACCCACAGTGCATTAATGTTGTGAAATACTGCAAGCCTGTGGTCCAGATCGACGAGACTTTCTTGTATGGAAAATACAAGCAAGTTTTGCTATTGACAATTGTCCAATATGGTAATCACAATATTCTTCCAGTTGCTTTTGCCCTTGTTGAAGGAGAAGATACATATTCTTGGATTTTTTTCCTCTGAAACTTACGTTCACGTGTTATCATGAGGGAAAAATTTTGTGCTATTTTTTATCGCGGAGCTGAGATCAAAGCAACAATGGAGTCTTTAGGTCCAATGTGGCAACCACCCTTTGTCCAACATAGGTACTGTATCCGACACATTGCTGTGAACCACCATGGAAGGTTCAAGAAGAATGATGAGTGCCAATTACTTGTGCGCATGGGTAAGTGAAACTGTTGTAGTTTTTTTTCTTTCAATCATTTTCATTTTTTATAGAAACAAAGTTAGTAAGTTCTAAATTTTATGCTCAGGTTACGAATTACTACCTCAAACATTTGAATCCATGCTTCAAGATTTGTGGGCAAAGAACGAGGAAGGATACGATTACATCAGCCTCATCAATAAAGAAATATTGACAAATGCATATGATGGTGGATATCGATATGGACACATGACGACCAACTTGGTTGAGGCAATCAATTCGACCTTAAAGGGGGCACGTCACTTACCTGTAACGGATTTGGTAAAAACGACATATTTTCGTTTGGGAGCGTTTTTTGCTAAGCTCGGGGGACAAGCTCAAAATGGATGCAAGGCGATCATGTCTATCACCCTAGATTAGTTACATATCTACAAAAAAATTTGTTGCATCAAATGAAATGTCTATAACAAGCTTCTCTAGAATGCATGAATTGTTTCGTATCACAGAAATGTCGCGACCTCTT